ATAGGTTTTATAAAATTTTAACAATAAATGCGATAGTTATAAACAAATTGAAAAATGGGCATTTTTCTTGTTTTTTGCAATAACTTATTTGTTTATTAACCGATTTTAATTTAACAAGTCTCATTTTGTAGATAATTTTACTCCCTATAAGTTGTCTGAGAGTCACTTTTCGCTAAAATTGATGGTTTTCCCTGCAAAGTGAAAAAACTGTTTTCCTCACTTATTTGTTTAAATAGAAAAGTTGGCTAATAAAATTTTTTGACTCACGAGGTGAGAGATGTCTTGTATTATGTTCCTTTGGACAATTTTATAATAATCTCGCGGATGTGACTTTTCGAGTTTCTCTTTTATTTTTGCTAATTTTAAAAATTTTGCTTAGTGTGAAACAAGACTTGAATTCTCAGTACCTACTAATATTAATGTCATTCAACAAATAGGTACATAGAAATATTTTTTGAAGTAGGCATGGAGTAGCAATGACATTTAAATTATTACATATACTTTGTAGGTTATATCTCACCCACACTCAAAACGTTTCGATAGACATTCAAATTGGTAAATTATTGGTGGATTGACCCACATATAGCACGAGAACTAATAATTTTGAGACTGATTACTCTGTCAAGCTGATTATTAGATTTTGAGAGTGTAATTTAATGCTGGACAGTTCATGTAGCCGATGTAATAGTTGTTTCCCGCAATATCATTTGTTAAAAATATGGAAAATTGTTCCTGCTCGTAACTTTTGAATGAATGAACAGATTGATATGAACTTAGTACTGCTCTTAAGTCAAAATGAGCTGTATCTAATGTGATATGAATGAATTTTGTAAATTGTAAACTTGGAAAAATTAAATTATAACTTTACCTTCTAACATTTTATCTACGAACGCTTCATCAAAGCATAATTAATTAGCTATACATAATAATATTTTAGACTCCTCCTAGTGACAGTGTTGCAACGTAACTTATGATTCGCCATGTTTCTAATCTTTTTTAGATAGAAGGAAAGAAAAATAATATACGAGCACTGTTGTGTTCGATGCACTCCATCTTATGGGAAGATGCGAAGTGGAACAAATGTGAAATGCACCAGTTGGTTTCGGCAGCTGACGTTAAAAAGGCTTATAGGAAGGCTTGTCTAGCCGTTCACCCTGATAAGGTAATTTCCTTGAAACGCTTATACAACGTGATTCTTAAGTTGAGCTAAATTTTTTTTATAGTGTGTAAAACTCGTTACAATAATCATTTTTGTTCAAAAAACTTTTCGTCAACATTTCTTCTAATTCTTCCTTGAATTCAAAGAAAAGGTTCAGAATGTCCGAGAGTCAGTCTGTCACACACTGGGGCCTTTAGTAGTCAGTTGTCCCAAAAACGCCTAAGAGGCGTTTTAGGTTGTCCCTAAAACCACTCTAAAATTATTAAGTTAGTCAAAATTAGGTTTTTTTAATGCTTTTGCTGTAATTTTTACTGTTCACTACAAAAGGCCCCAGTTTGTGTCGGGATGGTGTTGTGGCTGTAAAACTTGAACTTTTCCGCGTATATTTATACTGATTTTATTGAAATGTTTTCCAAACTTTTTTGGCTCAATCTAACTTGATGTACAATTTTTTGAGTGCTTATTTCGAGTCTTCGTCAACAAGATTTAAATTTATTGTATAAATTTGCGGCTGATTGACGTGCTTAAATTCTTTGCGAAGCAAGTTCAACATGTTAAAAAATATGACTCAACGTAGGAATCACCTCGTATAAGGAAGTGTCTCTAATTTGATATGAAATTTCAGCAAGTAGGAACGGATAATGAGAATCTAGCAAAGCTGATATTCATGGAATTGAACAATGCTTGGAGCGATTTTGAGAACGATTCATCTCAGCAAAATATGTTTTCTAGTTAAATTCTTCAACATAAAATTCTGTATTTCGTGATCATTCCATTTTACGATTAATTTATAGGTTTTATTTATTCTAGATATCTAGTTTATTCAGGAAAACGTTTAAGAATATTTCTAACTAGCTCTAAAGTGATAATAGTTAGATAAAGAGCAATCTTGTTTTCAAATTTATTGGGACAATATTTTAAAACCTAATCATAGTTACTTTTAGAGATTTAAATTGTTGAAATTAGATGTTTTATGATATTACATATTTGTTAAAGATATTTTATGTTTACACCCAATACAATATTTTTATATTATGACTGTTCTTTTTTTGTAAGTGAATTATAACTAAAATGTATTTATTGCCGTTTGTGTTAGAAATAGAAACATTCATTTTCTAAATTAAAAATTTATAAGTTATCGTTGCAATATGTAAAATAAAATTTATGGCAAGCAATACCTTGTTTTCACTTGGCAATGTTTCATGTTACCTCCTTCCAGTGCTGAACTTGTTTTATGAGCAATAATCACGAAAACAACTCGTAACTTTCAATATTGTGGATCTTCCATGTTTGTTAAATCATTACACAATTATATATTTTTTAACGAATCTATCTTGTGAAAATACCGTAAAGATCTTATAAAACTGATTTCAAAAAGATAATAGATGTCACTAGTTTCATTTTAAGGTGAATTGACGTAGCTAAAGAATTTTATGCGTAATTCTTGATAATACTGTGGTATAAACATCATTTAATATAATAATGAATGAAAAAATAATAGAATACTTTTTGTCGCTATTTTTTAGACTTGCGACATTCTTTATCTCTTTTTTATATAGTCTCGTACTATCTTTCGCATCTCTTTACCAAGAATCAATGACTACTGAACATCATAGACTTTTATTTTTTTTCCTTCTTCTTCTTCCTCCACTTCTGAAGTACATTGACATTTGCACTTTTTCATTTTACAAATAACCTCTTATAATCCAAAGATATTTAAACAAAAAATGGCTAGTAATAACTCAGCAGTTTTAGATGTACTTGTAGAAAATAAAGAGATTTCTTCTATATTAAAAGATACTAATGATTTTGATCGCTCTAGTATATGCAGCGGTTCAACTTATGATAACTCACTGGTAAGTAAAGACTACATTATAGTTTATAGTAGTTAATAGATATTATCTGTTTAATTTCAAGGTACAGTCTCCTAGTATAGAAAGTTTTTCTACTATACATGATATAGAAAATCTTTCAGAACTAAACATGGATGAGAATTCGGACCTCTGCGTTAAAATTGATAATCCTCAAAAACACTTGGAAACGTTAGAAACCTTTATCACATTTAGAATAACTACAAAAGTTGCTAGAATAGAATTCTCTGATAACGAATATGTAGTACGTAGAAGGTATAACGATTTCCTGTGGTTACGGCAAAAGTTACTAGAGTGTCATCCTTTTTGTATCATACCAGTAGGTACATTTACTTTTGAGGCAACCATTTTTCTGAAAAGCAAATTTTTTAGCCTTTACCAGGTAAACATTCTTTAATGGGCCAGTTAGATAGATACTCTAAAGATTTTATATTGTTAAGGATGAAAGCATTAAATGTTTTTATTACAAGAATTACACAGCATCCAATACTAAGTTGTAATGAACATTTTAAAATATTCTTAACAGCTAAACAGTCAGTAAGTATGTGATTGAAATATATAACTTATTTCTTCCCTTTATCATTAGAAAAAGATTATTTGCATTAAAATTGGTTATTACAGGATTTTAATTTATTAAGACGACAGAGAACTGCCATAGAACACAAGGTGAGGACATTAAGTCACGCAAACTCAACACACTCTGTATTAAAAAACCGCCATATTGAATTCGATAAAACGAAGACTTATTTAATCACACTCGCAGAGAAATTGTCGTCTATTGAGAAGATATCTAACCGCATCAATAAGGAACGATCTGAGTATGTTACAGAGTTAAACAGTTACCATCCTATATTCACCACTTGGGCTACTTCGGAACCTGAACTCTCCGAAATATTGCAAAATATAGGTAGTGCGATGGAACGGAGTTCTGCCGCTCAGAATGCACTAGTGCAAAGTTATAATACTACGGTAGGCAATCCTATTAAAGATTTCTTGGCCTATATGGATGTGGTGCAGGAAACTATAAGGAAACGGGAATCGTATCAGTACGCATACGAGGTGTCTATGGAGGAACTCGGTAAACGTCATTCCGAGAAAGATAAGGTAAAAATATTGTTTTTAGAACATTTTTATTTACGAAGAATTTGTTCCTATTATCGACAAGTTTAATAACCTGGTATGATGGATATTTATTGTCTGTATCTAATGTATAAATACTGTAAATACACCATTTTTATCTAATAGGTATAAAGGTAGTTTGACGTTCAATTAACACTATTAACGCTACTGATAACATGTTTGCGTTAGTACTTAGTAATCTTTGTTTAACCACATTTCTTTATCTTTTGAGTCGTAGAATAATACAGAACTAAAACTATTACATTCCCGTCAAGGTGTCATCTTTTTGGAAATACCTTTGTTTGTTTATGTTGATATAACGTTTAATTACTAAATAATTATTAAGAATGTTGGTTTTATTGCAATTATGACTAATGTAAATTTTTAATCAATTTTTTAGTTTTTACTTGAAATTGCAGAAAACAGAACAGAAACAGGTGCATTTCCAAAGTATTCTTTTTGCTTTGTGTTTATTTATATTTTTCTCGTCATGAGACTTTTCTGGTTAGGCAAAATCACAGCGTAATGTAAATCAGCTGGTTCACATCGTGGAAAGCGTATTAAAACAGATATAGGGTTCGTAGCGGCCGGGAAAACCGGGAAAAGTCAGGAAATTTGTTATTCTTCATAAAAAAACAGGGAATAGTCAGGGAATTTTTAAAGTATTCATGAAAGTCAAAGAATTTGATGTTTGCAACTGGAAATTTTGTGAAAGCCGGACCTGGGTTCTTGGAAAAAAAAAACTATTTATGGTTTTGAAACATTTATGAGGTTGTTAGGGTATAAAAAAGATTATGGAGTCAGTCGAGAAAAAATTTAATGCATAAACACCAATTAGTATGGGAAAATGAACTACGAGTGACCTGGATTTTTTTTTATAAGTCAGGGAAAACCTGGAAAAGTCAGGGAATTCTTTATTACTTTTGAACTATGAACCCTGAGATAATAAAAATTGATTGTAGCTTTATTACTGTAACCCGATCTTTTTCTAATCATCTCAAGTAGTTTTTGTGCAAAAGATACTGTAAGAAATGTTTCTTGGTAAAAATTATTATTGTCTGAATCGTTAAAAAACATTTTATTATGAAATGTATTTCCAATTCAGTAAAATATTTTTATTATGTATACTTATATTTTTTTAAATATAAATATATATGTATATCAGACCCATAAATTACGTATAATATCTATTTATGTTTTTAGAGAATCCATAGAAACTGCTGTAAGAAATATTTGTTCATGTAAAAGCTACACGAGCCAACCTACAGGTTGGCTCATATTATCGTTTTCATTAATTTTTAATTTTATTGATTATGATTTCCAAACTGTAAATTTTTTAAATATGTCTCTGTTTATTACACACAGCTGGGGAATTATGGAACTACTCCGTAGACTGAAACAATGCATGTCTTATGATTTCTGCACATCTGAATTTGCTTGTTTACCTGTACTGTGGCAAAACAATGATTATGTCAATGATTACAGCCAACATTTACGTCATTGTTTCAGCCTTGCCAGTAATATAATAGATATATTGTACTTCTTTCTTTTTGCATCATATATTTAAAATTTCAATATTAATAAAAATTATTTTCATTTTAGTGTTTAAAAGAATAAAATTTTACATAGTTATCCATACAGTTTTGTTATCAAATAATATAATTTCATGAAATAATCTATTTTTGAGTTTGAGTATTGCCAATAATCTGACTCGAAGAGGTCACAGATTTTGATTGTACTAAAACAAAGCATTTCGGAGAGAGTTGCACTTTTGTACGATTCTGTAGTCAGGTACTGAAATATATTGACATGGATGTATGTCCCATAAATTACTCATGTGAACAGGTGTCGTCCCAGAAATCGAGATGTAATAAAATAATAAAAAAGTTCCGTAACTTTTAAATGGGTAAACCAATCAAGACAAATCAGGTATCGAATTAAAACCAAAGTTGTCATATTAAACGAAGTTAATAAGTTTAAACCTGAGCATGAGGGAACTGAAAATGAACTGACTTTGTGATCACTTTCGGTGGTTTAAGTTTTGGTACTCAGAATTGAATAAAGCTTGTTATATGATTCGAGGAAATGTATTCAACATGGTAAGCGTTAAGGTGACAGGTTTCAGAATTCTAAATTCATAAAATTTGTGATTATCTGCCCAGTGATGGCATAGATGAGTAAAAAAAAAAATAATTTCAGACATTTACCCATAAAAAACTGACTCCCAGTTAAATTTACACAAAGTATGCCTTTGCTTTCTGAGATATCAAATATGTCATGAATTTGGATAGCTCGACTTGTTGATAAAAATTCGTTGTGTGTAAGCATTTGTAAATTCTAAAATGTTTGTTGAATTGTTCTATGTTCATTGATTTTTCTGTTGAAGTCGAATATTGTTCATATTTTTAAAAAGAATCGTTGAACCCAATACTGTTTTTTCTATATTTTCTTGGTCTATAAAGAGAACTTTTGCTATGGAAAAAATTTTAAACAAAATTTATGAAATAGGAAAGTAAATACAGGTGTACCTATCCGGAGATCTCGAAAAGGTTTCCACGTACCTAGATGTGTAAAATATATTTTTTTTCATAATAGGCAACTTGCATTTGTTTTTTAAATGTCTAGAAATACTAAATGTAGTGAAAATATTATAAATCTCTTAGATTTATAATTATTATGGTTTGGGAGAGTTATCAATCTGATTAAATGCTGACTTTGCAACCCTTGCAGTTTCTTTGTTCTGCTAAACTTATAAACATAGGTTAAGTTCATTGTTTAGTCAATTTATTATCCAGAGTAAGTACATAACTTGTAACTTTGAGATTATCGTATATTTCTGCTTTAATTCACTCAATACTTTTGTGAATTTCCAAAAATAAAAATTTTGTTTTTAGAAACCCAAACCGCAAAGTTCACTCGCATAAACAATATGTTTTCAAATGGCATCTTCTATTGTGCCATCTACATGTAGTTACCCTTTAGTTTAGGTTTCATCTTGACGGTAATGGAATTGTAGACTCGATGACAGGTAACCAATGAGCAAGTTGTTTTCAGTTGTATTAATGACTTCAAGATGTATTCTTTTTACCATTTTTAGTTGTTGATTATAGACTACAAATTGATGTACTAGAAATTAAATTTTCATGCCAGTTGTCTATTAGGCATTTCTTAGTAAAATATCGAAATAGTAAGATCCTTCTATCTTGGCTGCATTTACATGTTGTCTTTGTCAAAGGTGATGCTACAGCATCAAAAATACAAGATACTTTGAATGATTACTTCATATAAAAGTTTCATTATGTCGGGTGTGTTATATTAATATATTTAGACATATTATTTTTTTATTTTACTTTACATAATTATTAATTACCAGTCATTTACTAGATTTTCATCCGTTATAACTCGGTATGTTCTAATTTAATCATCATCTTTTTGCAAAAGTTTCCAGTTACATTATCAATTTAGACCAAATTATTTTGGTTGGAAATATATTGAAAAGCGTCTCCATTGTTAGATTAGTATTAAATACCAGTGGTGGCTCGTCAGGTGACGCACCGCTTCACCTAAAATTTCCAGTTGGTTGTGCAATTTAAAATTATTTTAAATTTTATATTCTATAATGAAAATGTATTGTGTTTGCTTGTTTAATATGCAGAAATATACAGAATAGTTGCACGGTGAACCCCTTCTAAAAAAACATTGCCTTCGTTTAGCGCAAACATCAACTTCATACCGTACGTTTAGTATACGCAAGTGATGCAAATCGAAACAGTCTGAATTTCGCTCCTCTTCGAACTGTTGTTTACGGCGGTTGTCATGGCAACGAGGTGGCCAACATGGGAGAAAATTATGGCGTGGGGATATGAGTGATGCGGATATTGAAGCAGCTTTGTCATGGCCTATCGCCTGCCTTTAAACAGTATATATGTTTCCCATGTATGATTGGAAACGCCATTGTCCAGATGGAAAATTGAGGACAAAAAGGATTTTTTAAATTGCGAAAGACCTGTGCCATATTCTCTCGATATGGAAAAAAGGGGAAGTCAAAAGACAATGTGTACGTTCGAAAGTTTTGGAATGAATGGTATTCAGAGTATAAATGGTTGTGTTGTGTGGGTGTTCATTTAAAAAAACTTTTCTGTATGCCGTGTTTAATTGTGGGTATAAAGTGGGGCGTGTGGAATAAGAAGGGATTTAACAATTTTGGGAATGTCACGCAAGGCTGTCGTAACAACAAAGCTTCTGGAACATACATGTATGGTGTGCGTTAATGTTTGCAGAAGTCCACAAGCCGAACGAATATTCCTATTTTTTATAAAATCTGAATAAAAATCTTCACAAACGTGTTTTTCAGAAATATTGCAAATGCAACCAAAAATATCTTCATTTAAAGCCATTTGACCTTGAAAAATTTGAACATTTTCGCCTGCGGCGTTTTTTTTGTCAATATGCTTCACCTTGTCAATGTCACGAGGCGCCACTGGTGAATACAAAATTTCTCGTTTTCAGCTGATCGCGATGTCGCAGAATCCATCCCAGAACGCCGGGAGCTTCTCGCTGTGGAAACAACCTACCTGCGATGATAAATTAGAAAAGTTGGGGTCGTACATCCCACAGCTGGTGAAGAAGGTGGAATCGAACCAGGACAACCTCGAGTGCGCCAACGAGTCGCTGCGCAGCGACCTGCAACGCTGGCAGCAGGAGAAGACGCTTTGTTTGAAGAAGATCCTCCTCGACTTTGTCGGCAAACAAATAAACTATTACCAGGCGACCGTCAACGCTTGGGAGTACGTGGCTAGTGAATTAAACCAACAAAACACCAGTACGAGAAGTAATGCTAAGTGATACATTTTATTACGTTTAAGTAAATAGATCTCCTTATACATTCCTTTATTTATTATCTATTACCTTAAAGTTAATATATTATGTTACTATTTTAAATGTTTTATTAGTATTTAAATGTTATTTATAAAATTCACTGCCTTTTTGTCGTAACCGTTAGGGCGAATAAAATACAGGCTGTCCTTAAGTGACAAAAATCTTATATATTACAAATCAAAGACAAATTCACTTCTTACTAGATAAAATTAAGTGTGCTACACACGCACAACACAGTAATTCACAGACGCTACTTACAATTAAGTTACAATAAAATTCAATAATTATAACTCTGATCCAAATGTTTTAATAAATATACACTCATATATATTATTAATAGAAATTTTATATTAAAAATTGTGCTAAATAAATAGAAAATAAAATCCCACTAGCAGTAATGTGTTAAAAGTCTGATCGTTTATCCCTATTTTTGGCTCTGGACAATGTCCGCGCTTTGTAGTTTACTGCGTTCACAAATCGCTGAAAATAAAAAAAAAAATTACGTTATATTTTCGATTAAAAGGTAATAGTCCACGGGCCCACGTACAAAGAAAAAAATGATTACCAGCAAGCTGTAACTTTGCGTGCAGCTTAAGTTTGAAGGGTCTCCCAAGATTTGACAACGAGGAAAATTCAACAGTGGTAAGTTTTCCCGTGATTTTCAGGAAAACATGTCAATCTGGCATGGACATGGAATGTTATGACCAGCATTTTTTTTAAGTTTAAATGAAAGATATATTTTTTTAAACCTCCCAAAAAATTCGTCCGACAAAAATGTTAGTATTCTCCTCAAATATGTCGATTTGGTGACATTATGGTTGGTGACAACCAGCAAAGCTGATTTTTCTGGGAGGGTGTGGCAATAAGATTTGAAACGAAAGTATCTTATTGTCCGACAAAATTCCCGAGAAGTTTTTGCAGTCCGACGCCCCGAAGATGTCGACTTAACGACAACATGGTTGGTGATAACCAGCAATCTGGTTTTGATTTTTTTCTCTAATAATTGAAATGTATAACACAATAATATATTTGTCCGCCAAAAAGATTGGAAAATTTGCCTTAAAAATGGGAAAAACAACTATTTTTGCGGTTCATTCCGCTATAAAATAATTAATTTTTTAAAGAAAAAATAAAGAATAATAAATAAAAAAATATCTTAACAGGAGCAACAGAAATTGAAATTCATAAATAATTATGTCTAACTAATTTAATTAATCTCCATCAAAATGATTTCTTCGTTCAAAAAACTTATATGTACATTTTATAAACTTGTAACTATTTCATAAAAAATGGTTACTGTACAATGAATGCATACATTTTTGCTTGTTTTTTAAATTAAAATTTGCAATCTTGTTTTGACAAACAGTTTACACATAGTTTTGTTCTTGACAAACGAATTTTAAAAATATTATAACGAGCGTTCAAATAAAAACGTGGTCAAGTTGGTTCTGAAAATTTGGACGTAGGGCGTAGCGTATAGCAAATGAACTTAAACGTCATGTGTCAAAGCACTATATCGCCGCTTTCAATTTGAATATTTTCGTTTTAAAAAGCGTTTAAAATGGTGTTTTCTCAAGAACAAAAAGTGTTTATCATAGAGTCCTACTTTAGAAATGGACGCAAGATTGATGGAATATGGAAGTATTCTATTGAGGAATGTCTCATAGAATTTCAAAATCAATTTCCCGGCGTTGTTGAGTACAAAATTTTTCAAAGTGCAGTTCAGCGTTGTGTTAATGTTTTTCGTGAAACGGGCAGTGTAACAAGAAAAGAAGGAAGCGGCCGACCTAAAAAGCGGACTGAAGAATTAAAAGAAAATGTCCAACAAATAATGGAAAATGCGCCAAGAACTTCTGTACGTGTTTTATCACAAATGGTGGGAGTATCAGTCGGTACCTGCCACACAGTGTTAAAAAAAGATTTGCGT